TCCCTCTGCTATTCAGGTTTAGGCCAATGACTCACCCTGCCTAGACCTACCCAACATAGACTTTGAATCTAGAGGAGATGCTCCAAAGTGTAGGATCACTTAGAGCTGATTGAAGGCATCAATGGCACAATTGTGAATTTGCAGCTAGTCTACAGGGATGCTCCCTGATTGCGAAAGTGAGGAGACTTTGAAGCACTTACTAAAGAAGATCAAGGATTGAAGCCTTCAGTATAAATTACAACTCAATGTCAAACCACCAAAATCCTCACAACTGGACCAATAAGGTAACATCATGATAAATGAAGGACAGATTCCAATTGCCAAGGAAGTTGTCTTGCTTGGCTCCACAATCAATGCTCATGGAAGCAGAAGTCAAGAGTTCAAAAGAGATGTTGCATGAGATTACTCTACTGCACAAGACCTCTTTAGAGAATTGAAAACCAAGGATGCTACTTTAAGGATGAAAGTGCATCTGACTCAAGCCACGGTATGTTCAATTGCCTCATTTGCATATGAAAATCCAATATTGAATAGGGAAGACCAAAAAAGAATCAATGCACTTGAATTGGGGTGCTGAAGAAGAATATTGAAAGTACCATGTACTGCCCGAGGGATAAACTTATCTGTCTTGGAAACAGTACAGCCAGAGTACTCCTTAGAAGTAAGGTTGATGCGACTTCATCTTACATACTTTTGACCTGTCATACGAAGAGACCAGTCCCTGGAGAAGGACACTTTGCTTAGTAAAGTGGAGTGGCCGCAAGAAAAAAGGCCCTTGGCAAAATGTATTGACACGGTATCCTCAACAATGGGCTCAAGCATAGGAACAATTATCAGGATGGTGCAGGACCAGGTAGTGTTTTATTTTGCTGTACACAGGTTCACTATAGGTGGTAATTGACTCGATTGTAGCTTATCACAACAACTCCAGGGATGCGGGGGTTCACAAGCAGCCCATTCCCACAGTAGGGATTTGACTTCAGTTTGCCCACATCTTTGTCCCTTCTCCATCTGTCTCTCTAGACTTCTATCAATTCAAGTAAACTGAAGAGTTCATTTGAAGGCAGTCTAAAAGTATAGAAATAGCAAGCTTATAGTTCTGATTTACTTGTCCAGAAAACCTATCACTGCTTACCCTGTCACTCATTATCTCAGTCAGATAATAGGATTTCCCAACCACATTTTCCCAAGATTTTCCTACTCCTTCTGTGAAATAAGAATACCTAAAATAAAATATCTAGAGGTTTATTTAGATTTTGTACATTTAAAAACATCTGAAATTCTGAAACTTCATTTTACCATTATGCTGGGGAAAAATGGAGTCAAATGGGTCATTAAAGGTCTAATATGTACACAATGGTCAAAAAGTGGAAACAGATTCACATGTCTATCAAGTGATGTATGGATGAACAAAATAGGATCGATCCATGGATTGGAATACTGTTCAGTCATAACAAAGAAGGAGGTGCTGTTATGTGCGACAACAACGATAAACCATGAAAATAGTGTGGTACGTGAAAAAAATCCTACACAAATGGGCATATACTGTATGATTCAGTTTATCTGAAATATTCAGAGGGAGAAAACAGATTAGTGGTTGATGGGATAAGAGGGGAGGAAAGTGATGCTGAATGGGAACAAAGGTTACCTTTTTAGGATAATGAGAATGTTCTACTTCTGGATAATGGTGATCATTGCACAATATTGTGAATGTATAAATGCCACTGAATCACATGCTGAAACATAGTTAAAATAATTAATTTTGTGAGTATTTTACCAAACTACTATAAAATCAAATATACAATTAAATAGAAGAAGTATAGACTATTTAAAATTAGATTTTTATTCTATCTAGAATGCAATAGTTTTACTCAGCATGACTTGTCAAAAGAACTTTCTTGGTTGTTAAAATCTTTCTTAGTTCCGAGTTTCCCTTAGAACTCTCAGTGGTACTATCCATCACTATATAATCTGGCTTTCATGCTAAGAATTAATTTGGGGCTCATGGTGAAAAGAAAGAAGTAAAATAAGCTTATTCAAAAGGCTTTTCATTGTCTCTGACCACTATTATATCTTATTTCATTTAGACACAATAAGGATGTTGTGAAAAAAAAATTCTACAACTCTTCGACTTGGGGAGAGCTTACAATTTTCTTATTACAGATTAATCCATTTTATTCCATTTCCCAAAGATGTGTGTCTACATGAGAGAAATGGCATCAAAACGCTGAAATTTTAAAAGTTCTCCAACTGGAATTAAAAGATGTGTATTGCTAGCTGGCGTTTTATAAATAAATGAGTCCTTTGTATACATTCAAGATTAAGCAGTGGAATCCTAGAAAATGTCATTCACTCTATTTTGTTAACAGAGAAAGCTTTTGATGTATGCATCAGAATGATGGTTAGAAGTCTATCACAATCGAATTGTGAGTACAATATGAAGATCGCTCAAGGAAAAGTCCGAACGGAATCTTCGTTCAATGACAGTTATTTCAGAAAGTTCTAACAGTGACTTGGTAGAGATATCGTGTGCATGACTTAGTAGGTTATGTTGTTAGAGGCCACTGGGTTCATTTCAACTCGTGGCAACCCCACATGACAGAGAAGATCTGATCCCTAGAGCTTTCTCAGCGGTGATCTTTACAGAAACTGGTTTCTAGATCGTTCTCTTGCAGAGCCCGTTTGAGTTTGAACTAACCACCTATTGATTAGTAAACCAAAAACCAGCCAAATTCACTGTCATTGAATCTATGCCTACTCATAGCTAACTTTTATCTTCCTTAGCTCCTCCTGACTTCTTTAATAGGTTGTCTCCCCGCCATCAATTTGATTCCGACTCACGGTGATCCTATCAGATAGATTAGAACTGCCCCCTTCGGTTTCCTAGACTGTGACTCTTTATGGGAGTAGAAAGTCTCATCGTTTTCATGGAATGGTTGAGTGTTTCAAGCTGCTGACCCCGTGGTTAGCAGCCTAACATAGAACTTGAAGGTGCATGGATTCTCATATCTGAACGTCCTACAGAACAATGTTAAGATGTTTTGAAAATATGGACACAGATTCTGCCTCCATCCACATGCCCACGGCCCTCCCCATGCCAAGCAAGAAAGGGTTCTGTCACTTTCTTTTATTTCCCTCCAGAAATAAATATAAATCAATATTCTTTGCATAGCCAAGTTCTTCTGTGAAGCTCCCTTGGGGACCCTGTAGGAAAACCCTCTAGTTTTGCGAAATCTTCTGCAACAGGGGTTCTCGACCTTTCTAATGCGGTGACCCTTTAGTACAGTTCCTCATGGATGGTGACCCCCAATCATAAAATTATTTTCGTTGCTACTTCATAACTGCTATTTTGCTACTGTTATGAATCAAATTGTAAATATCTGATATGCAGTATGTATTTTCATTGTTACAAACGGAACATAATTAAAGCATCGTGATTAATCACAAAAGCAATATGTAATTAAATATTGTGAAATATTTATTTCTAATGACAAATAAATGAAATCTTGTCTGAAAGCATATCTGCATGTAGGCGGACCCGCCTTGAGACAACAGAGGAGCGGTGTCTCGGTTCATAAGACCTTCAGAAATATGTGTTTTCCTATGGCTTAGGCGACCCCTGTGAAAGGGTCATTTGACCCTCAAAAGGGTCACGACCCACAGGTTGAGAACCATTGTTCTACACCCTCTCCCTCTCTCACTGGAGCTGAAGTAGAACTACAGTCACAGATGGTTGTCAATCCCATTTCAATTGAGTTTCCTTCACAGTGTCTTTGAATGGGAGTTCAGAACCTAGGAGATCTACCTATTCATGAGGCAGTTTCTATGGGAGGTTTCAATTCCTACCGTGCCCACTTTGAAATGTCCTCAGTAAGGGACGAAGCAGGCCTGGGGAAGCCTCGGCCTGCTCACAGCCCTCTGTTGGATAGACTTGTAATTCGGGTTAAAGAATGAGGCAAGCAGGGGTGGCACAAAGCCGCAGAAGGCACGAGCATTCTGGAGAGTCGGCCCAGTCCGCGGGCCTCGACCCCCACTCTTTTATAATATGGGCCCTCCTGGTTAGAGAAGAGAGAACAGGAAGTTGGATCCCAGTCACGATAACCACAGTTTTCCTGATTTGGGGAGGGCTCAATCGTAATTTCTAATCAAGATTCAGTTCCCACCATGCAGGAGATAAAGATTGTTTTTTAACTCAAACAATGTCTAACTCCTTCTTCTTTGACTTTCTTTGTTTATGCATTTCCCCCAAATGTGTCACACACACACACACACACACACACACACACACACACACGGGTGGTAAAAGAAACACATATTGGAAAGGATGTATACACAAAGAAGGTATTTAGATACAGGTCTATAAGCATCTGTTTCATGCACACACACGCATACATTCTAAGACCCAGCAAATTACTGCTTTCCAGGAAATTTGAAATGAAAACGCTCCAAAATAGCACGGCTCCAAGGTGCTCAGTGTCTATTTCAGTGTGCGCGTGTCAAAGCCAGAGAGAACGTCTTTTCATTTTACTGAGAAGCAAAAAAACGGTGAACTGTGTCCTGATTTACATTTTCTGCGTTACTTAGGGTAAATTGAATGCCAGCAACTTCGAGTTCTGTTTTCCAATTTATTTTTATAAAATGTGTGTTAATTTAAAAAGAATTGTCAAGTACCCTCTTGGGGAAGATGGAAAGCATTTTTCCACGCAGGTTGCTCAGAGGAAACCGTCATAATCCTTTTATAAATACGGAAAGCATTTCATTTCAGAAGTGCTTAAAATACAATTACTTCATTTACTTTGGGAGGCTTCATCAAAGCCGGTTTTGAGCCCACGCTCTTTGACGCAGGTGCAGGTAATTACGCCAGGTCCTCTCACCTGGCTCATTTCCGGCCCTTGGAGGGCTCTTGGTCTGAGCGCACAACTCGCTGTGCATTCATAAGGAAGATATTACTGCGGGCGCCCCCGGAGCAATTTATCAGCGCTACAAACTACTGACCTTACCCTAAACCCATCTGCCTGCAGGCCCGCTGACTCAGTGCCTCCTGCCAGCCGTCCGCACACACGTGGTGCGCCGTGGCAGATCTGTGCACAGTCAGAAACGAAGAGGCATTCACATTCTTCCAGAGGGTCACTGGGGAGGGGAAACAGAAAAAACAGGAAAACCCTAATTAAAAACAGTTCTTCTCATGGAACCAAATGATACCTTTATGTGTCTTGGTTGACTTACACATGTATTTTGTTTTTAATGTATTTGCATTAAGCACCATTTAATGCATACCTATTCCGTGTCAATCTCTGCACTAAGGGTGGTGGAGGATGTGAAAGAAAAAAAAAAAGAATTCGATATCCTCTCTGATTTTTAAAAAGTAAACAACAAAATACCATAGATGTAATGAAAGAGACAGGCAGTTATTGACTTTTTACTATGAGTTATTAGTTAGCCAGAGATGGGATCGACTCCCATGAGCTTACCCAGGAATCTGCATAATTATAAGCTAGTTTTAACTTTCAGTGGCACTGCTGGGTAAGCGTCAGATTGCTAACCTGAAGGTCGGAAGTTTGAAACCACTAGCCACTGCATGGGAGAAAGATGAGGCTATCTGCCCCACACTTTCTTCACAGTCTCAGAAGTTCTATATTGGGTCGATTTGAGTTGGAATTGACTAGATTGCAATGGGTTTATTTTTTTGGTCTGTAACTCAGGGTCCCTGGCTGGACCAAGGGTTCGGTTATTTGATGCTAATCCAATGATTGTCACTTGGAGTCTACACAGAGGTGCCTCAGAAGTCAGGCTTCTCCACTGGGGACGATAGGCCTGCTCAGAGCAGCCAATGCCCAGAGAGGACCATAGGGCCGGCCCCACTATGAGACACGACATCCCTCACTAACCCATAGTGCTACTGGAGACAGCACTGGAGTCAGTGCGGGAATTACGCCTGATCTGACCCCACCACACGGAGACAAAGCACTAAGGGTAAGCAACGAGGGGAGTAGAGCAATGAAGTTCCCAGGGAATACCAAAAATAGACTTTGGGGCCAGGGCATGGTACCACATCAGACTCAACCCTAAAACACTCCTAAAGGTAGGTCAACAACAGATCTTGAACTATTTACAATCTTTTCTTTCTTTCTTTTTTCTGTCGTTGGTTTTGTTCTCTTTTGTTGCTTTGTTTTGCTGTCTTGTTTTTGTGCATATTATTATCTCTGCAGGATAAACAATCTGGAGGAGAAAACAATGGGACTGATAGGTGGTAGCATGGGGAGGAGCCCTTGGGAGAGGGGGAGGTGGGGGAAAGGAAGTGGTGTTAACAAAACCAGGGACAAGGGAACAACAAGGGATCCAAAATCATTGGCTAGGAGGGTGTAAGAGGCCTGGTAGGGCTTGATCAAGGGCAATGTAACCGAGAGGAATTACTGAGACCCAAATGAAGGCTGACCATGATAGTTGGATAAGAGGAAAGTAAAAGGAAGTAGAAGAAAGAACTAGATGGCATAGGGCATTTATAGAGGTCTAAATACAGGCATGTGCATATGTAAATATATTTATATATGGTGATGGGGAAATATATCTATGTGCTTATATGTATAGGTTTAGTACTAAGGTAGCAGATGGACATTGGGCCTCTAATCAAGTACTCCCTCAATGCAAGAACACTTTGTTCTATTAACCTGACATTCCATGATGCTCACCTTCCTGACAGGATCGCTGAAAACAAAGTGGGTGCATAAGCAAATGTGGTGAAGAAAGCTGATAATGCCCAGCTATTAAAAGACATAGCATCTGGGGTCTTAAAAGCTTGAAGATAAACAAGTGGCCATTTAACTGAGTACCAACAAAGCCCACATGGAAGAAGCACACCAGCCTGTGTGATCATGAGGTGTCGGTAGGATCAGGTATCAGGCATTAAAGACCCAGAACAAAAAATCATATCATTGTGAATGAGGGGGAATGCAGAATGGAGAACCAAAGCCCATCTGTAGGCAACTGGCTATCCCCTTACAGAATGGTCGTGGGGAGGAGACTAATCAGGGAGGGTGCAGTATAACACTGGTGAAACATACAACTTTCCTCTAGTTCTTTAATGCTTCCTCTCCCCCACTATCATGATCCCAATTCTACCTTACAAATCTGGCTAGACCAGAGCATGTACACTGGTACAAATAAGATCTGGAAACACAGGGAATCCAGGACAGATAAACCCCTCAGGACCAATAATGAGAGTAGTTATACCAGAAGAGTAAGGGAAAGGTGGGGGGAGAAAGGGAGAAATGATCACAATAATCTACATATAACCCCCTCCCTGGGCAGTGGACAACAGAAAAGTGGGGGAAGGGATACCATGGTCAGTAAGACATGAAAAAATAATAACAATTTATAAATTATAAAGGGTTCATGAGGGAGGGGGGGAATGAGGAGCTGATACCAAGGGCTCAAGTAGAAAGAGAATGTTTTGAGAATGATGATGGCAACAAATGTACAAAAGTGCTTGAATCAATGGATGGATGGATGGACTGTAATAAGAGTTGCATGAGCCCCCAATAAAATGATTTTTAAAATTCTTTTAAAAAAAGGCTTGTCAGTCAAAATGGCAACTAGTTTTTCTGTTTGTTTTGCCTTGCTTGTTTCCACAGTTGGAATATTATTCATGTTATTTCCTTTTAAAGTTTTTTTAAGGAATATTTTGGTATATGAGCAAACTCTTATTTTGAAAAGGGCATTCTTTATTTAAGTAGTCACAGAACGTTTGTGAAACACGTGAACTCATGATTGGACTAAAGGATACAAAGACTGCAATAGAGCCCAGTGAATGGAGTGATTGTTGAGTGTGTGACAATGGGCTTAGTCAAAACCAAGATGACCAATGTGCACCTAGGGAGGTGCTGGTGGTCGATGCCTTTCAAGCCTCTTCCTGAAAAGAAGTAGACAGTGTAAGCCCCATTTGTATTTGGAGCAAAAGTACGGGGAAGATAGAGGGATCACTCTGCATCCTATTTCAGGAGGTGCAGATGGCAAAATAATGTTAACAATGTTTGAGGCTGGCTCAAGAATAAAGCGGTTTTCTTTAAAAATTATTTTCCAGCACGCAGATCTGGGCAGTTCAAACAGTTAACCAGCTTGACTACTGACCAAAAGGTTAGAGGGTCAGTCTTCCCGGTGGCACCTTGGAAGAAAGGCCTGGCGATCTGATTCCAAAATATCAGTCACTGAAAACCCTGTGGAACACAGTACTACTCCACAGCACTGCTACGCATGAGTTTGCCGTGAGTCAGAATCAACTTGGAATTTTTTTTTTTAATTCTAGCAGTGCTATAGGCTATAACAATTTGAATCCTTTTCTTTTTTAATGTATGCCAATTGCCACCAGTTCTATTCCAACTCATGGTGACCCCATATGCATGTAGCAGAGTAGAACCAGTATCTAGTTCCAGTGGCTGGGATGCTGGCATAGTGGTTACTTGTTGGGCCATGCTCCATAAGGCCAACAGATTGAAACCACCGCTCTACAGGACAGAGATGGGGCTTTGTAGTCCCCTAAAGAGTTACCGTCTCAAAACCCACAGGGGCAGTTGTACTCTGCCCTGCAGAGTCGCCATGAGTTGGCATCGACTCGATGGCAGTGAGTTTGTTTTGTTTTGGTGATCTTTCAGAAGTAGGTCTCCATTTATTTCTTCTACGGCCCCTCTGTGCAGATTTCAGATAAGGAGATAACTTGGGGGACATTTCCAATGAGTGGGAAAAAAATATATAGAAGTCACTACTGTCAGACTTTATAATCGTAAGGCTAGATGAATATGCTTAGTAAAATCGGTGAAGTAATTCAAGAGTCATTCCTTCATGAGCTCAGGTGTCCGGTGGGCATTCGAATGCATGATGAAAGCAGACAGGAGCAGCTTACCGCAGTCCCACTCATCCGAACTGTCCGAACAGTCTGGCTGGCCATCACACCACAGTCTGCGTGACACACAGTCGTGATTGGCACATTCCAGTTCATCACCTTGGCAAAATGCTGGCACAGGGGAGGAGAGGGGAGAAGACAGAAATCAGTAGCATGCCTACCATCATTTGCCAACAGGAGAACATGAGGGAAAACAATGTGGTCCTGAGACTCTCCAGATAGGTTATTGAGTCAGAAACACAGAACTGATCAAATCTCCTTGAATAGATGATGGTTGATACAAATAGCAAGCATTTCTACAGAACGGTGTCCTGGTGGCATAGTGGGTTATACTTTAAGCTGCTAATGAATGGCAAGACCACCAGCCACTCAGGGAGAGAACAATGAAGCTTTCTGCTTGGGTAAAGCCTCAGAAACCCACAGGGGCAGTTCTACTCTTTCCTATAGGGCTGCTATAATTTGAAGTTACTAAATGGCAATGAGTTTGGTTTGTTGGTTTGGGACTATCTCCAAGGGATGAGAATCTCTAGTGCTCATATCATAGCAAGAAAACTACTAATGAAATAAACAACAGAACATTGTTATTGAGTTGATGGTGTCATGAGTTACAGAGAACCGCTCCACAGTTTCCTTGGTTGAAATCTTAAGGACGCGGATCACCAGGCCTTTCTTCCACAGCCCTGCTGGTAGAATGTAAGCACCAACCTTTAGCGTAGTAGGTGAGGGTAAACTGCGCTACTCAGGGACATTGAGATTGGAGATTCCTCATTCCCACCCAGTCAATTGTGACTCAAAGTGACGCTAGCGGCCAGAGGAGAAAGAACTGTTTCCAAGGGTATCTAAGGTTGTAAATCTCTAGGGAAGCAGAAGTCATCATCTCTCTCCCTTGAATCCACTAGTGCACTCAAACCACTGTCCTGTTGCTTGCCAGCTTAACATATAATCCACAGTACCCACAGAGTTCCCACAGAGCAGTTGGTGGATTTGAACCACCAACCTTGCAGTCAGTAGACCAACCTGAATCCACTAGAACAGCAGGGTTCCTGAAGACTAGATCAAAGAAAAACCCAAACTCGCTGCCATCAAATCATTTCCAAATGATAGTGACACTATAAGATACTAAGATAGTGGAGAACCGTCCCTGTGGGTTTCCCGGGTTGCATGTAAGTAGACAGCCTTATCTTTCCCTTTAAACCTTCGGGTGACGTCGAACTGCTGGCCTTCTGGTTAGCAATCCAGAGTGGAAACCAGTATGTAAGCCACCTGGGCACAGGGCTAACGTCTGCAACAGCATGAGCTGAGCAGTGGAGATCAGACTGACGTCATTATAGGGAGATAGTAAGCTCTAGTCATATACATGCTTAGGTTCTACATTTAATAAAAGCAAAGAATCATCTCTAGCTACGATTACTTGAGTCTCAGTATCATGGACCAATTCTCTCTTAAGTTTAAAAAAAATAATTATAGAGCACTTCCTGGGTTGCCTACCCAGCATTTATTTCCTTTCCTCCTCTTTTTTGAAAGGAAAATCTGATTTTGTTAGCACATTTAAACACCACCCCAGCTCGAGGAGAGATCACTGGCTAGTTTAAGCTGGTCATGGCATTTTCCTGGCTATAGTATATTTTAATCTAGAAGACAACATGTGATCTAAGACCATGGTCTTGGCTGAAGGTTTTGTGAGTTGTGTTTTGCAAGATGGCCTCTACCCAAATTCTGCTGGCCAGGATGTGCCCCCACTGGAGGCCATGGCAGTCTAAACAGACATCTTTTTCTCACTGGTTTTCCCTGACGGGAGTGTTTGCACAATGCAGCTGTTTGCTGAGTGGTCTCCTAGATGCCAGCTCTGCTGATGTCACCAGATTGGTTAATCTGAATGAATCCCTTTGTGGTGTGAGAAACATGAGGGCAAAGTTCTAGTTCAGTGTTTCCCACAGGAAAACTCTGGGGGCCCTGGAATGATCCAGGGGGCAGCTGCAAAAACAGATGCCTACACTTTATCCTGGATTAAGGGAGATGCTAAAATCCCTCTACTGGGCGTATACCCAGAAGAGGCAAGAAACAAACCACAGCCAGACATCTGTGCTCCAATTTCATTGAGGCACAGTTCACAATTGCAAGGAGTTGGAAACAACCCAAATTTCCATCAACTGATGATTAGATTAAAAAGCTGTGGTATATACATACAATGGAGTACTACGCATCGCTAAAGAACAGTGATGAACGTATGAAGCACATCGCTGCAAGGGAAGAACTAGAGGAAATCATGCTAAGCGAAGTAAGCCAAGCACAAAAGGACAAGTACAACACGACTCCGCTGAGATAAGCTTTAAAAATAAAATGCAAAAGGGGCAGAGGGAAAAAGCTACTGTATACAAACATTCCTGGGGTGAAGACCAGGTAATGTGGCAGGGACCAGACCAAATACAGGGATGCATATGGTAGACAACTATAAAGGAGGTGGGGAAAGGAAAAAAAAAAACAAATGGATAGCAGGGGCACAGGGCACTAACCCATCCAAGGGGAGGGTATTGTTGAAACCTACACAGGGAAAGAGGGACCAGGCTTCATTCAACTCAGTGCTCCAAGATGTGAATACAGCATGCCGGCGTGGAGTAGGGAACCAGTGGAGAGGTCTGAGGGGCCGGCCCCAATCCCAACTACCTGCCCCTCCCCCCAGAAGAATTTATTTCAAAGGAGGCATTAAATCTGCAGCTCTGGGAGAGGGACATATCTGATTGGAGCACACAGGAGCAAATGAA